GTCACAAGATATACATATCATCTAGAGAATCACTGAAAGTACCTTCAAATAAGGATGCTTGACAACAGACATGGAACAGGAAGATAGTAAATGTTTAGTTTTTTGGAATTTGTGTTTTAACAATTTTATTTGTTGGCTTTCTGGTCATCACGTGTAAATAATTTCGAATTTGTCAAGTAGGAAAATCACGATTAGTTTTACTAAGTTTTTGAACTAATTTATTTAGTTTGTGTAAAACGGAAAAAATGAAGAAAAAAAAACATAATGTAAAAATGTCTAAAAACTCTCAACACTCGGCCTCCAATTTTATTTCAGTTTTGAACTCTCAATTTCATATACTGTTGCACGGTGTCGTCCTTATCTAAATCCAATTATCGTTTTCTCGCTGCGCTTCATTTTCCCCTCATTTTTCCTTTCGCCTGCAAACAATTTACATTTGCATTTCACCATTCACACGTTTTCGCTTTCGTGTATTTCACACTGTTGTATGAAGCACATTCTGTAAGTAAAATCCACATTCATACCCTTCTAACCTTATTCTCGTTTCTCCACTCTACATAAATTCACTTTCTACCGTTTCTCATCTTTTCCTTCTTACCCGTGAAAACTAGCGCGTCGTTAAAAATCCTGAAACTTATCAGTATTCGTATTTGATGTTCCTTAAATGACATCAATGCGAGTAGTACATACACACGGATCATAATCAGTACCCGATAGCGTGTAGAATAATCTAAAATAAAGTGAATATCGAACTAGAGTGACTTTTACGGATCTTCCTTAATTATGTACCTTTTGGTGATTTAAATCATCTCCGTATATCAAAATATTCAATAATATTTTTGTTATCTTTTCCCTGACGGATTTCGGATACAAAGGCTTTCCTGTTTTAATAAGGCGAGATCTACATTACGCCTGAAGGCGTTGTGCGGAACCTGGTTGTCAGACCTTGACTTTGAAGTGAGAGAGACTGTGATACTGCACGCAGACTTGGCTGAGACACTTACGAGGCACGCAGAACGCCGGTCGAGCACGTTAGTATTTTCTCGCGCCCAAATTTGTGTCATTCCGAGAGAGATTTCACCCAATTCCAGATGTTGTGTTCGTGATAGACGAATGAAAAGAAAAGCACTGTTAAATTCTCGCATAGTGTATGAGAATTATTTTGAACGGGTTTCACTGCAACGAGTTTGCTACGTTGATGGCAAGCTACAAACGTGTGAAAGTTCCTTTTAGTTTGCAGCTTTTTTCGTACATCTTACCTCATTTGCAGCTCCGTCTGCGTTTTAATTTCCATCCCAAGATACCGTTGCAAATATCTTCCAGGCTTATTTGAACACTGTAAACAGTTACTGCTTAATGACTTTCACATATTATTTTCTTCCGAATCCTGGAGACGTTAGGTTTTACAATTCCTGGATCGAACGTGACTGAACCATTTTCTTATTTCGTCAATTATATATTGAATGATATTCTTCTCGTCATGAAGTTTATTGCTTGACATCTGCGACATATATTTTGTAGTGGAAACATCTGCATTGTTTGCACAATTCACTCACGTACATATTTCGAACAAATCTTTTTCGTGCGCCCATTTGGTTGCAATTAGTTTCATAGAAATGAAATGAAAATAATATATATATATATAATGTATTAAATAATTAAATTTAATTATTAAATAATAATTAAAGTTATTATTTAATTCAGTTATGATTGAGATTGAAATTATTACCACATATCTTCATTTTCTTCTTTGAAGTAGCGGTTATGTAAGACTATATATATATATATATATATATAATATAAATAATAATATATATAATATATACTAATAATATATATTTAGCAAAGCTGGTTCATTGACAAATTTATTTTCAATATAATAAACGTAAAATATATATTACATCTTCAAAAAGAAGAAATTGAAAGATGTGTGGTATAATTTCAATCTCAATTACATAATCTGAATATTAATATAATTTTTAATTATTATTTTAATAATTAACATTTAATTATTTAATATATTATAAATATAATAATATAATATAGTACGATATATATACTATATATATATTATTGTCACTTTCATTTCCTATGAACA